TTGCTTTTTGCATCATACCGGGCGATGCACAGCTGGTTACTCCTGGCTCTGTACTCAGGAATTACCCCTGGTGATGCTCAGGGGACAATATGAGGTGCTGGGAATCGAACCCGGGTTGGCCACATGCCATGCAAACACCCTATCCCCTATGCTATTGCTCCAGCCCCTAGATATTTAATTTTTTTGAATCACAATGCGATCCACAGTCACAAATTTGTTCATGATTCAGCTTCAGTCATACAATGTTCCAACAGCCGTCCTTCAGTGTGCATTTTCCACCATCAGAAACAAAAGGACTTCTACCCCCACACCAGAAAAGGGTGAAATTCTCTCTCCAACTCAGACTCTAAAGGCTTCATACTTTCCCACCACACCACAGAGCCCCTGTCTCTGCTGACAACAGGCCTGTGACTCAGTGTTTCTAGGACCCAGGGACTCTCTTGTCGCTTCTGGGGTCAGTTTGTCATCTCATGGCCAATGTATGATACAGTAACTTAACAGGTTTCAGGTGCTGCTGATGTCTGTCACCCTGGGGAATCCAGAGACTTTCTCCAAGTGTTTGGAATAGACTGCAAAGCCAGACACCAAGCCAGACTACATGGAAATCAGTCTCCCTTATGCCAACTGATTTGGCACCTTCAACCTCCATTCATCAGGGGTCTGTCAGAGAGAACGAGAAAAACAGACACACAATGAGACAAACCAACATACTTTCAAGGACTGTCCAAGCTTCAGGGTGGTGCTGAGCTCACAGGAAGCCATTTATTCAATGTAATGTCTCTCCCTCCAAACTGGGTCCCAACAGGCGAGTCAGTGTTTAAGTTGGCAGACATTAAGGACAGTTGTTGAGCTCATCCACATTCAGTTATGCATGAGGAGCAGAAGCTGTGGTGTCTCAGAGACAATTAGCAAGCACCCTAAAATACAACGTCTGAGCACTTTATTGTTATTTTTTTGCCTGAGTTTCTCTCTACCCCTTAAAGATCCTTAATTGTTTTATTCTACCTTTTCTGTGCGCTGCCTTTGGGTTCAATTTTGACTGCTGCCTTTGGGTGCAATTTTGTGTAACTGATTATATACTCTCAGGAGACTATCCAGACCCTGAGATTTGTGATAAGGGTACAAATTCACACAAGAATGTGTGGGAAAAACAAAGTAGTTCATGTTACTAATAAACTGTCAACTAGATGAGGAGAAATAGCATGTGACTAGGACTTTAGAAGAGATGTAAGTCAAAATGGGGAAGTACTAGGAACTCTGCTGCCATGATATTCCACAGACGTTATTTTTGAAAAGGCAGGAAAATCCCAGAGATGAGGAGTAGCCTGTAAGTATAATGGAACACATAGGGGTGGGAAGTCAGAAAACAGAGGGCTCCCGATTCCTCTCTAGAGTGGCTAATGCAACCTCATCCCTTGTTTCAGGGTAACCCAGGACAGCTGTGAGAACCACAGTGGATGCACCATTGAGGAGGCCCCAGAGCAATGAGCTCTAGAACAAACTCTGCGAAGATTGTTCCCATGACTTCATCAGACACTTAGGGGGACAAACCAACCAATAATAACTCATAATGCATTCTTGGTGTGTTAGCATTCAACCACAGGGTCTCATACACGGTCTTCTACATCACTGGTCCCGAGTGATTTTGATCCTGAGATTGTAATCATGCTTTTCCTATGTCTGACTGACTCTACAAATGATTATAGAAGAGAGACTTGAAATGCAGCTAGTGCAACTCAGTAGTTTTACAATTGAGTTTAGTATAATTTAAGGTTATGAAGCCATGTATTAACTGCAGCAATTTCTTATGCTATACACTATACAACCAGATAACCATGTGTTATTAGGAAGCAATAAGCAACATCAGGACAACCAGGCTGCCAAATGTTAATCACAGGATCTGCCCCATGCTCATGTCACACCTTTGTTGCAGGGAGGCATTCTGCCTAACTTTATTTAACCACTGCCTTTCCTAATAAATTTTGTCATATGACTAATAGTCTATTGCTCATGTGGGAGACTCTGTCTTGGCCATGCTGCATGTGTGAGTCTTTGAGCATCCGCTACATTAGATGACATTTATTGCCTCATTCCAGAGGTCCCTGTAGTTACAAATAACTACAAAATACCAAATGGAACAATCACAATGTGGGAGTTGTAAACTGCCCTGATAAATATTTGTTCCAGTACATGGACAAAGTTCCTCTATCTGGAGGGCATAAAAAGAATCCATAGGATTTCTTGGGATCTGCAATGTTTTCACTGCAATAAAGAAAGGAAGGAAGGAAAAACACAATGAAGCAAAACGTAAACATTGTCCTATGCACTAGTCTTTGTAGTGAGATTGCTGCTTGTGCCAAGAGGGCCAGGAGAGTTGCCTTTGCTGTTGGGGATGAATGACTTTGTTCCTGGACTTTGGCCAAACATTAATTGGATGTCTCCCTGGAAATAAGAAGGGAGTTAGGATGTTGATTTCTATAAAACTAGATATGAAAATAATTGTTCTTATAATGTGTGAGTTTGTATTTTACACATTTGTGTGATGGTGATAAACCAGTGTATTCCTGTTCCTCTGGTCCATCCTACACCCAGACCAGCATCATGAAGGGCAGGTCCCCACACAGGGGCCTCTGTGAGCCAGCAGGGAGCTGGACAGCTCTAGGCTCAGAGTCACATGGGGGTTCTGGAACCCTGGAACATAACAGGTATTGGGCAGGATTTAGAGGGCATGAGTCTCTCTAGAACTGAGCTTGGGGACAGTGTCCATCAGGTGAATTTCCAGGAGCAGCACAGGGGACTCAGAGTCAGCCTGGGGACAAAACCACTCTCAGTCCATTTCCAGCTTCCTATGGGACATCAGTGAGGAAGGTTCCCTGCCTGCCCCATTGTCTCAACTGCTACAAGGATTTGACTTTGGAGGACTGTGTCTGCCCCAGTGAGCAAGCGTCAAAGAAACTCCTGCTCTGCATTCAGCTTCCAATGACTCCACTCACCAAGATGTTAGAACAGATGATGTCATGAAATTTGCATATGAGTGTATCAACATTGAAAGTATCATGTTAAGTGAAATGAGTTAGAAAGAGAGGGATCGACATAGAAGGATTGCACTCATTTGTGAGTATAAAGTAACAAAATGGAAGACTAACACCCAAGAATAGTAGGAATAAGTACCAGGAAAGATTACTCCACAACTTAGATGCTGACCTCACATGCTGGGGCAAAAGACAGCTCAGATAAAGAAGGGAGCACCAAAAAAAGGGTCCTAGGGGGGCCCACTTGGGATGGGAGATGCAGGCTGAAAGTAGACTATAGAACGAACATGATCGCCACCTAATAACTCTATTGCAAACCACAAAACAGAAAAGGAGAGCAAGAGAGAGAGAGAGCGCGCGCAGAAGAAAATGCCCTGCCACATAGGCGGGGTGGGGTAGATAGTGGCAGGAGAGATGCTGAAATTTAATCATGACCATTGTTGGTAGATAATGGGCACTGGTTGAGGGATGGGTACTCAAACACTGTGTGACTGAAATGCAGGCACGAAAGTTTGCAAGTCTGTAAGTGTACCTCATGATGATTCACAAATAGAAAATTTAAAAAATAAAAATATAAATAAAAAAGAGGATCTGGCACAGGAACCCAAGGAAATTAGTAAGAACTAGGGTTGATTGTGGGCAGGAATGAGAAAAACAGGGTCTGAGCTCTGAAGGCACCAGGACCCCTTTGTGAGCAGGATTAACTGAGACCTGTGAGTTCAGGAGAGGGAGTCGGAGCTGACACACTGGAGTCTCCATCAGGGATGAAGAGGAGAAGCCCTGGAGATGCAGGTGGAGGACGTGATAGGGACTGGGAAGGGCAATCTGGGATGGGGGAGAAGTTAAGCTACTTTTTTTGGTTCATTAGTATTTTTGTTTGTTAGTTTTTTCATTTGTTAGTTTGAGGCCATACCTGGCAGTGCTCGGGACTTATTCTAGGCTTAGGGATCACTCCTGGGAGGAAAATATGGGGTTCCAGGTATGTAAAATGGTTTGACCACATACAAGGCAAGCACCTCACCTGTTGTATTCTCTTTGACCCATATGAAGCACTTTTCTATAAAAATGTACATTTCACAGTAAATTCCATTATGCCTTAAAATCTTGAAAATGTTGTGTCAATAATCTGATACTTAGATAGTAATATATCCCTTACAAGCACAGCACTGTAGCACTGTCCTCCGGTTGTTCATCAATTTGCTCGAGCGGGCCCAGTAACATCTCCATTTTTTTTGCATATATGTATGTATATTGTGGAATTTTAGGAGAAGAAAGAGACTGAAAAAATGAATCTATTAAAAAAATTTTGAGGTAAAACTAGGTAGATCCAGGTATATTATAAAAAAAAGTAATGGCTAGTTTATTGTCACTGAAAATAGAAAAGTGTGTGGATGATAGTAAACAGATAATGTTCTAGGTATTTTATGATGCCATGTATAATTTCTTTTTTTCTTTTTTTCTTTTTTTTTATTAGTGAAACACCATGAGGCACAGTTGTAGACTTACAAATTTTTGTGCTTGGGTTTCAGTTATACACTGATCGAGTACCCATCCCTCCACCATTTTGAGACATATTGTTACTGTGTTTGGCATATTGAATACGTCATGGGTAGCATGCCAGGCTTTGCAGTGAGGGCAAGATACTTCGGTAGCTTGCTGGGCTTTCTGAGAGGGGCAGAGGAATGGAACCTGGCTTGGCCAGGCTGGCTGCGTGCAAATGCGGGCAAAACTGGGAGGGTGAAGTGGGGTTGCCCATCAGCGGTCAGTACACCATAACTGGTCATTCACAGCACATAGCCCCCTGCATACCTGCTGCTCTGCCAGGCAAGGCCTCTGCCTCTGACAAGGCCCTAATGTGGAGTATCTGCAGTACAGCAGGGGCTCTCAGGGTACGGACCCACAGCTGCAGCCTCCTCCCCTGAGACCCTCAGTGCCTTCCTCTAACTGACTCGGAGACTCTGCTTCTGCTCACCAGCAAAGAACACGTGTGGCCATCTGGGGCAGGCCAGGCAGGGTGGTTTTTGTTCTGGGCTGTATCACTGTGAGAGGTACCCATTTACTTTGCATGCAGTAGTAAACGCCAACATCCTCAGGCTCCATCCTGCTAATCTGAAGAGTGAAGTCTTTCCCTGACCCACTGCTACTGAACCTGTCTGGAACCCCAGGCTGTCGGTTAGAAACTAGATAGAACAGGAGCCTTGGAGGTTGGCCTGGCTTCTGATGGTACCAGTTCAGATAGCTGTATCCATTACTCTCTAGGAGGCTGTCACTAGACTTGCAGGAGATAGAGGCTGGATCTCCCTTGACGATGGACACGGAGATTGGACTCTGGGTCATCACAGCATAACTTTTGGATCCTGGAAAATTGATTTTTAAAAGTGTCAGGTTACATTCAAACATCAGGTCAATTTTATTGTTTCCATACTGTAATTTATTTTTGGTAAAATATTGTTTTCTGAGAAAGTCATTACTTGAATGATTTATACTCATACACCAGAAGGATGTCATCACAGTGAAGAGACCTTCAGAATGGGGAAACAGGCCTCTACACCTTCCCTGGGACATCTCCACATTTCCGATGTTTCTCTCTCACACAGTCTGACACACACACTCAAAACACACAAGGACACCAGTGAGTCCCCCAAGCTCCCTCCTGCACCCATTCTTTCTGTTCTCCCTGCTCCCCTTACCTGGGATGCAGAACATCAGCAGACCCAGAAACTGAGCAGGGAACCTCATTTTGGGAGTTGATCTGAGAAAACCTGATAGCTGATAGCAAGATAGAGCTGACTCTTATGTGCTACTGCCCATTATAGATCCTCCCCAAGGGACAGCATGCAAATATATTGGTGGGTGCATCAGTATGAAAAGACTTCCAGGAAGGAGTCACTCTCTTGAGCAAAGTGACAAATGTATCTTCTAGTCTGAAAAATAGTGGAAACATTAACTTAGCCTGGATGGTAGTGGTGAAGATGGCACATTTCTCAGTCTAACTATGGGTGACACAGATGTGTGTCAATGATTCATTTTTTCCTGTTTTATGGGTTTTTGCTTGCTTGGGAACCACACCCAGCAGTGCTCAGTGGTAACTCTTGCCTCTTCTCAGGAACTTCTCCTAGTAGTACTTGGGGGACTATGTGGGATGCTGCATGCAAGGCAATCACCTTACACACTGCACTATCACTCTGGCCCCCTCACTGTGTCTCTCACAATTAGAATATTTCTGATTTATCAGGTGTTCTAGCTATATAAATGTGTGTCTACATCAATCATATTAATAGATTCACATTGCTGTAATCAAGAATTTGGAAATGGCTATTCCCTGTGGACTCATGAATTGAATTCATTGTGACACATATGTTCAAGGAGTTTGACACAGAACAAAAAAAGTCCTCTTTTAAATGAGGCTGCATTTATACTCTCAAACTACATCCCAAAGTGTCAGTTAAGATCATACAAGTTCAACTACATTTTACTATATTTTAAAGAAAGAGAAGGATTATACATGCATCATTAAGGTTTAAATTCAATTACAACCATATGTCACACTGGAGCAAATTGTCTCTCGTAGATTGGTGCAGGGGATACTTTTTTGCCATAGCAGACTCTGGTTGTGAATCCCAGGGCCTGCTAGGGATTCAACCCAGAGTCTCTAGGGGGTTCTGTAACCAGCGCAGATTATTGAACTTTACATTTTAGGGTCTAAATCTTACAAACTTTCAACCCTTTCTTGGTTCCACAATGTGTGGATGATGTTTTCTTTAACTATATAAGATGGTAGGAGACTATAATAAACAACTTAATCAGTACATGAACACTATTGTCCCAACAGGTGATTCCCCCTATTTTTTTTTCAGGATCTTTTTTTAAAATTTTTATTAGTGAAACACCATAAGGTACAGTTTAGAATTACAAATTTTTGTGCTTGGATTTCGATTATACAATGACCAAATGCCCATCCCTCCACCAGTGTCCATTTTCCACCACCATGGATCACAGTATCCGTCCCACCCCCATCCCCCCCATCTCTCCCTGCCTCTGTGGCAGGGCATTCCCTTTTGTTCTCTCCCTCTCCTTTTGGGTGTTGTGGCCTGAAAAAAAGAAATTGAGTGGCAATCATATTCGGTCCATAGTCTACTTTCAACATGCATCTCCCATACTGGGAGGATCCTCCAAACACCCTTTATTTGGTGCTCCCTTCTCTATCTGAGCTGCCCTTTCCCCTAGAATGCCTGTCTGGCCTCTATGCCATGACTCCCCCTATTTTGTTAGGAAAACCCCCAAATTTCGTTTCTGTCTCTTTGGCTTATGCCTTTGCTCAGGCGTGTTTTCTTGTGGGGCTGGTTTGGGGAGATGCCCTGCTAGGCTGCATGGTGTCCTGCAGTCCTGCAACCCTGACTGTCACTTGCCACAACCAAATAGTGAAGAAAATAAAAAATATCCCTCCCCAGCTGTGTGACTTGAGCCTTGTGCCTTTAGTGTGGACCCTGAATAAGGAAGGACTCTGTGTCTGGAAGTTTTATTTTTGGTTTGCAGGACTCAAGTGTGGCACTCGGGTCATCCTATGACTTATTTTTTCTCTTTTCCTTCTTCCATTCCCTCCCGTCCCCTTCCCTTTCATCCCCTTCCTCCCCTTCCCTATCATTCTCTTTCTTCCCCTTCCCTTTCCTTCCCTTCCCTTTTTCTTCCCTTGCCTTCTCTTCCCTTCACGTTTCCTTCCCTTCCCTTGATTCCCTTTTTTCCCCTACCCCTTACCTTCACTTCACTTTCTATCCCTTCCTTTCCTCTTCCCTTCCCTCCCATCCTTTAATCTCCACTTCCTCTTTATTTCCTTCCTTCCTTCCTTTCTTCCTTTTTCCTTCCTTCCTTTCTTCCTTTTTTTCCTTCCTTCCTTCCCTCCTTCCTTTCTTCCTGCCTTTCTCTCTCCCTCTGTCTCTTTCTCTCTCTCTTTCTTTCTTTCTTTCTTTCTTTCTTTCTTTCTTTCTTTCTTTCTCTCTCTCTCTCTTTCTTTCTTTCTTTCTTTCTTTCTTTCTTTCTTTCTTTCATTTTTGATCCAAACTCCACATTCTCCAGGCTCTGTGCTCAGTGACTACTCCTGACAGGCCAGGGTACTCTATAACACAGCCTCATGCGAAACACCCACCTTACCCTCTGTTGGATCTCTCTGAACCATGCATTGGTAAATTTGTAGATAATATAATTTTGTACATAAATAAATGCTAATATTAATCCTTGTTTGAAATTTCTCTAGAGATCCTTTTCCCTTTGCATCAACACTAATTGATATTAGAAGCCAGTTTCCTTATCTTTAATAAACTCTATAGTTTATTAAGAATTACATCAGCAGAATGAATATGTTTGTATTCCTGAAGTGAGATTGAAGGGAGAGAATTGGGGTGTCAGGAACCTCCTTGTGACATCTCTCACAACCTTCCTGTGGAATCACCATGTGGCTGCATCTGACACTTTCAGCGGGGAAGGCACCAGGAAGAGCATCTGGGGCAGCCCAGCCTCACACAGCTGATCTCTGGGGGTTTATGTTCTGGTGTGTATCATTGTGGGAGGGTAACTATCATACTGATAACAGTAATAAGTGGCAGCATCCTCAGGCTTGAAGCTGCTGATGGTGAGAGTGAAATCTGTCCCAGATCCACTGCCACTGAACCGGGAAGGGACATCTGGTCCTAAACCTGTTGCTGCATAGATCAGGAGCCTGGGAGCTTGCCCTGGTTTCTGCTGATACCAGGCTAACCTATTGCTAACTCTCTGACTGGCCTTGCAGGTGATGGTGACTTTCTCTCCCAGAGATGCAGGCATGGATGAAAGCTGGCTCATCTGGATATCACCCATGGTGCCTGAGATAAAAATATAAGTGCACATCATTATCATTACCCACAAGTTAGGTAATTTCCCTGAAGAGACAGGCAGTCCAAATTCATGAAAACCCACATTTCCCTCCTTACCCGGGAGCCAGAGGAGCACGAAGCTGAGGAGCTTCACAGGGGCCCTCATGTCCACTCTGGGTGTGACAGACACTGACCCTGCAGGGTGACACAGACTATTATTGAGTGTCCAGGCATGAGCTCTGAGGACTTGCAAATGAGAGGGGGTTGGGCAGGCAGAGGGGGGTGGGTGTGTGTGGGGACCAGCCAAGCTGCAGGGATGTCACGGGTGCATGTCCCTGGGGGAAGCAGAACTTTGCCCACAGAGAACATGCTCCTCCCATGCCCCAGGAGGGGCACAGTGTGAGCACAGAAGGCCTGGTCCCTGGTCTCTTGAGAGTCAGGACACAGCCTCTTGCTCTCTGCTCTGTCAGACCACAGCCACACAGACCTCCTCAGGAATTGTAAACTCCTTCAGTTTCACATCTTTGTGTCAAATTCAGGGCTTGGAATCTTCCGTTTAGCTCTGGTATCCTGGTGTTACTTGTTTTAGAGATGTTATCACTACCAACGGGAAAACGTTGTATGTTAACAGGAGAAAACCTGTGGGGCCATGATTGGCTAACAAGCCATGTCCAAATACATTTCTGAGAGAGTCTCACCACTTCCACCTCAGCCTCAGATTGTGGGTTTTGTTCTCCACATTTAGAAAAGCTCTCTGGCTTCCGAGAACCACCACCGACATGCACTTTACTCTTTGGACATTCTTCTATGCTTTTCAGTCCCTCTTTCCCTGAAAGATTCCCTTCTGAGCTGACCAGATGGAAATGAGTCGAGATGGGATAAATGAGATGAGTCACCTCCACCGAATTCCCCTTGAATGTACTGTGCCCCTTCAGCTCACATCCTACATCACACATCATTTTCTTCTTTTTATTTTGTTTTGGTTTTGGACCACACCCAGCAGTTCCTACAGCTTATTCCTGGCACTATACTCTGGAATCATTCTTGGCAGGAGTTGATGGTAGAGGTGTGGTGTAGCAGATGAGGGATTAGCATACAGAGGTTGTCTGATCTGCTGTGGCAGCTTCCACTTATGCTGAGGAGAGAACAAAGCAGCTGTCACCATCCCGCAGAGCCATGGGGGGAATTGGGCTGAGCAGAAGCTTCAGAGCTAGATTCAGTCTCTGATGCTCTGAACACTTATATTGGCCCTGCAGGGACACGGACCTTCTCCTGGAACAGCCAGGAGACTAGAGGTGGGTCGCATTGTGTTCCCCATGGCATCTGAGTGGAGTCGCATAAGGACACCCAGAGATAACTATCAAAAGTGATAGTTCCTTCTGTATGATGGATTTAAGGTTGAAATTAAACAGCCAGCATTTTCATTAACAAGGTGTTGCCTGACAAAGTGAAAATGATTTCTGAGTTCTCCTCAGCAGTCATAAGTAAAAGGAGGAAAGTTTCCTCAGAGCCACTTTCTCTGGGTGCCCCTGAGGCAGACCCTGCTCAGAGGGAACCAGGTGTGAAGCATCAGCTCAGGATCTCTTACAAGAATACACAGGCTGGGGCTCATACCACACATGGGACTCTCTCACTCTGGGAGGCTGGAGAGTGAAGGCCAAGCAAGGTCCCTCAGAGTCACTTCCTGTGAGACCCTCCTCCTGTCAGCAGGAGCCCCCACTCTCCTCTTGTCCTCACAAGCCTCTCTTGGAATTCATGCCTGTGAGGAGGGGACTAGGAGGGTGGTGGGGGCAGTGTTCCCTGGTGTCCCTAAACTCCCATCTAATCCCCCTCCTGGGAGCTCATTTTACCTTAAGTGACTCTACCGCTCTATCTCTGAAACATCACAGAGGA